AATTCCAACTGCCCTGACTGAAACATTCTTTGCGTCATACTCGCATGCAAACTGCAATATGGATTTCAGACGATGAGGGTTTAGACTTGGGGGACAAGATGTTTTTACTTAAGGTGCTATGGAACTTAACAGGAAATGACAAAACAGGAAGTGACAAATTTTTTGGCATTTTTAGACATTTTTGAATAAAAATAACAGAGTTCTGTTTTGACCTCCAGTCAATTCAACTAGTTCCAAATACCATTTACAGGTCCAGGATCACAATGTGCATGGTCAGAATGACCCTAAACATTATGAAATAACCTTTTCAGCCCTCTGAAAATGTGACTGAAAAATAACTAAAAGTAGGAGGTAGGAAAGGTCTATTTAGTATAATTTTGTTTCCAAAATTATTGTCATTTGCGATAATTAGTACTAAAAGTACTTTGAACAGATCAGCTGCCATTTGCTTGGCTTAATCGTACCAGTCCACAGAAACAGTGAAATCATATTAGAGATACCAATTAAACTTTAAAATTGAGGCAGATGCGATACAAAAAGACTCTATTAATACAGATATACAGGTTACAGTCACCAAGATGAGCTAATTTCAGGCGAGATTCGGGAAATAAAAAGGTACATGTAGGTCATTCTGGTTTCCAGTCCTCTAAATAATCTATGCTCCGGCTTTCGCCAGAAACTTACTTCACGTCCGTGCTTAAGGCCCAAAAAGTGGCCTTATTTTTTTAATTTTAGGCCAAATTTTGAAGATATACGTCCATGGTAATAGTAAGCTGTATATAGAAGAGACATGTGAACAACTCTGACTTAGACCACTTCACTGTGCACTTGTTAAGTTGGAGATTTCAACAATATTTAGTGTATTATTTTCTAAAAGCCATGGGGAGTTGATAGAAAATTGATAGAGCTCTTACCTGGAATTATTACGCCAAAAGTAGTGCGAAATGGCCTTTTCACGTGTTGGCATAAAGTTTTGATGACATTTAAAGACATAGTTCCTCTTTCACGTATATCATCTCATGGAAATGGGCATACCAGCGCAAAGATCTTTGTTCCGTGGTGAAGAAAAGCCATCAAACATTGTCTGAAGAGCAGATTTATCTCCGTAATTCTATTTTTAACATGGCGACCTTGACCTTGAAAAAATATAGCCATTTGGGCGATAATAGGTGATTCAAAAGTGAAAATGAGTGCTTTTTTCGTAGTTTTACTTTGACCAAGCCTAGAAAAAAATCGAAGTGGTAAACCTACCCCCAATTTTTGATATTTTCGTTGTCTAGAAGTGTCCTAGATGATATCAAAGTTTAAGAAAATTTGTATGTCTAGAAATATTTTATAAATTAGTGCCAATATGGTGGGTTTGCGTGTTTTTTTGCTCTCATTTTTTACCCCATTTCTACGGTTGCCATGGCAACTATAAGGCTTTGGTAACCATGCCAACTTGATTTTTGAAGGACATCCACCTGATAGTAGTTGGGCCAAGTTTGATGGAAAATGGGCATGGTTTGATATGCTGGCAGTGAGGTTGATTGTGGCATGTAGTAAAACGGCAAAACAATGGTGGAGTCATACCACCTCAGTCTCCGAGCCTTTCGTCCAGTGCCATCCGTACTCCTGTGCAACAACGAACGAAATGAATTTTTGGGAATGCTCTTATCTTGCTCTTACCTAAGATTGAAACTCAGTCAGATGATAGAATAATGCTGTCTAAAAGAGAGAATTTCTGAAAACCCAGTGGCGGATCCAGGAACCACAGGGGGGGGGCCCAAATTTGAGGTCTGAGAAAAAATTTGAGGCCCATTTTTCTATTACTTTTCCATTGGCCTATGGTCCTGTGGTCGACAAGCCAATTGATCGGGTAGTCTTGACTTTACTCACCTAGTCGTACATGTGTAGTGACGAGTAAGGGCAATCTACAACTGATTCGGTTCGGTTCTAGTTCGTGTAAGTGCGCATGCGCAAAATGCAAGGCATTTCCCATAATACCTTCCGGTCAAGTCATTCTGTATCTAATTCGGTCATCAATGCTGTGAACGAAAGTATTAAGAATGTCGATATCATTTTAACATCGTTTGTTCGTGTTCCATCCCCACTTACATAGTTTTCCTTTCACAATGAAATCAATATATACAAAAATAATGGATCATATAAATATAAATTGCTCCAGTGCAATATAACGATTTAACCAATCAAATTTTAGATGCGCAGGAAATATGCGCATAGAACCGAATCAGTTACAGATTGCTATAGAACCGAACCGAATCAGATGCAGATTGCCCTTACTTATTTCCCATGATACCTTTCTGATAGGCGGCATTCTGTGTCTGGTTCGGTTCATCATGCGTATGAAACCTATGGTATTGACCGGGTATTGGCAAATACCGGACAGTTACTTTATTATTTTAGACACTCTAAACCACTAAAGTACTGATCATGTTTTCAATTTGTGTTGCACATTATCCTGTCAAGGTGTCGTACAATCCTTTGGCGGTTCTTGGAGTGTGGGGGGGGGGCTTGGGCAGTTGGGTGGGCCCAGAAAAAATTAGTCCAAAAAGCCTCAAAAAGTGGGCCTTTTTGGTCATAACTGGGCCTTTCAAGGCCTTATATTTTAATTTTAGGCCAAATGTTGAAGAAAATGGGCCTCCTATTTCCCCTCTATTGAACGCCCACATGCTCTCCCATATTATTGGGGATGGAGATCCATGTCCATACATGCAGCTAAGGGATGTCTGATCCCCTCTCATTTGGCCAAAACCTTTCAAAAGTTAAATCATGCATTTTATGAGTCACCATTCTGAGCTCACATTCCAGTGGTTGGGCCAAGAAACACAACATGATGATATTAGGCTTATGGGCTTTCAAGTAGAAGGGTTTGCAACTCTGTGTAATAACATGAGACCTTCAAAATGAGCAATCCCATGCTTCCCTTATATGGTAAAAGTATTACATAAATGTATATGTTTAGGTATTATTTTGAATATTTTCAAGAAGACATTTGAATTAGACTTTCTTTATTGCCATAATTATGATGAATTCCATTTGTTATTAAATTATCAACATGTATGTAAGATAATCATGTTTTTATTTTTGAGTTATTTCTTTAAATCATCAAAATAAAATCTTCTTGGAATATGTACATTCTCCAATTTTGAAAACCAAGGCAAATCTTATGTATGAAATATGAGAAGTTGCCTATACCCTTCAAGTTGAAAGCCCATGGCCTATCCAATAACTAACAGACAAAATAAAGTTATGATGACTACAGTGTAAGTTATGTTTATTGTACGCAGTTTCCTTACAGGTATATACAATAGTCTATGCAGACTTGTCAGACATCTTGAACACTTATCGCATAATCCCCCCCCCCCCCACTTTTGTTTGTAAGTGGGGGTTGTATGATGCGATGACTTGAACACATGCATCACTTTTGGTAATTGTCACAAATATATGTTATAGAAAAATCATGACCATGACAAGCCAAAAATAACTGTGAGATAATACATACATATTTTTATCTTAAACATTTTAACAAATGATCATTTTATTTTTTATTTTTTGAAAAATAAATCTTCCCCAAGTAAAAAAGAAATCTAATATAACACTAACAGATCACCAATAGATCACCAATACACCATGAAAAGTGATTAAGTCAAGTGGTTTATAAGTTATGTATTAAAACTGTATTAAAATCTATAGAGATTTTGTACCTTATGGATGTATAAAATTCTGAGATCTCAGGAGTGATTTGTTCTGAAGTAGTCTATTAGACTAGTCATGGTAGTGGTGTATAAAAGCTCAGGAAGTGATGTATTAGTGGTCTATTAGTAATATTTGAGACTTCAGGAGTGATCTATTAGTAGTGTATTACATGCTCTCTGATTGGTCAATAATTGTTATCTCATTTGCATGGTAATTTTTTCAACTAATAAACCACCTGTTTAGTCAATGGCAGAAAGTGATCTGTTAACGAAAATCACCACTAACAAATCACTAATAGATCATGTTCTACTAGTTGAGTATTAGTAGTCTATTAGTGGTTTATTAGAGTGGTTTGGCAAGCTGTTTTTTTTTCACTTGGGCCAGATTTGTTGAATTTACTTATCATATATTACACATAACTTCCATTATATAGTAATACTAAAATGTAACATATCTTATCATATCTTATACTCACAAGAGAAAGGAAAACCCCATGTTTAAATTGATGACATACAATTTCACCAATATAAATTTTTGCCAAAATTTAGAATGAATCCCCGGGTATTATCTAGGGTATTTCGTCCAGTGTTTCACTTCTGGTTTAGTTTTTTTCCAAAAATATTAAAAAAATGTCTCTCATAAATTGGCTCAGAATTGGTCAGTCACTTATTAATACTCAGGGAAAACTATTACTAGTATCAATTGAGGTGCAAAATGTAAAGGATGATCTCACACAAATGTACAAATGTGGTGAATATCGCCAGTGGTCTTCAAAAGAAAAAATTAACATAGCCAAACATGCCCATTTACATAGTAATTCGCACGTTTAACATTGCATTTAATTTTTTTTTTTTTGCATATCCGCCAATATGCCAAATATGGCAAAATCGCCAAATTATCCCAATCTACAGTAACTACCTTCTCGCTTCTTGGTAATTGTTTGAATACTGTGAACTTTATAATCCAGATACTAGATTGTTATGCCTTTATACAGTTATAACCTCTACTATTACTTTTGGAACACCTTCAGTAATAAAGGCCTACTAGCAGTTTCCAAATCTTTCCAAAGAAATGTTTTCAGTGTTTTCAAAGCCTTAATCATTAATACAGCACATTGCTGTGTACATATCATAATGCTCCTTACTTCAACCTTTAGAGCAAATATTCATTTTTTATTCCATGTAAAGAAAACAGAAATTGATAAAATATTGACATGTCATAAAAATAAAATATTGACAGAGTGAGACCGCATGTTGAAATGGACGATGGTAATACCACGCACCACATGCATTTTGAATTGAAAATGAATCTTATTGATGATATTCCACAAAAAACTTATTTCTAATGGGCCTCTAATGTTTTCAAAGCACTTGATAGTTGATGTAGCACTTGATATACATCCTTTAAATCCCTGTGTAATGCGATGGGTGTCTAAAAAGTTCATATAGCATTTCTGCCTGTAGTTTTGTAAACCCGTCCTTCTGTTGTAGTAGATGTACAACAATCTATAAATAAATAATATTCACATCTGAATGAACACTACTATTACATGTAGTCCGCATTGAGTAATTCATGCATTTAAAAAATGTACCAATTTTAATTATTTTTCAATGGTGTTTCAATAAAACATTGTGCTTTAAATGTTTAATGTAACATATTTTTTTCTTCGAGAATATAGAACGTTTATTTAGTCACCGAATACTGAACACAGGCATAAACAGTGATAAAACTATAAAGGTCAGAATTCCATACTAAAAAGTACACAATTTAGTCTCCATTTTACCATCTTCTTGTTAAAGTTAAGATGTCTTTTAGTGCCAATTAACTAAGATTATGAAGCTGGATTAAAAATACTGTATCTTACTTCTGGATAGATTACATAATGACTAAAGTCAAAAGATGTCCTTGGATATGCATCTGCGACTGGTTTCATGAAGGCATTGATTATCTCTATCTAAATAAATAAAATATAATACATGGTATATTATTTTTCATATCACTAAGTCTTTGCACCTAGTATTTGCATTCCTTTGGGACCCCAACCAACCCAATTTAGTGCTCAGAGGCATCATTCCGAAAGAGCTTTCACTTTAGATCCCATCGGCTGTACAGTATTTATGAATAATCTGTAAAATGTTAATTTGGGCTATAATTATTTTATATAAATAAATCCATATTACATGTACAGTATTTGAACATACTAGAACAAAATTTTATTGACATATACTTCAGTCAATGTACCATACAATTACGATACTGTCTATAAGGTTAAAGTATAAGATTCAAAATAACTTGGAAACCAAAACTAGTTTATATGTTCCAATCAATATGCACCATTATTATATCACTATCTAGCTAGCGACAGTATGATTGGTCAAAACCGGGTCACATGTCGTGGGATATCTGGCGATATTCAATGGCAATGCTAATCAGATAAGACAACCGTGAGATATCTAGCGATATCCCACGCTCCCGGGAATTTTCAAAGAATTTGTTTTCGTTCAGTGTAAATAATTTAGTTCAGTTTAAGTCAAAATGGCAGACGAACCGAGTAGATTCGTAAAAATATCTGAAGACTTAATGACTTAATAATATTAGGGATGTTTAGCTAGACAGTGATATAATAAAACAAATATTTCACTCTATTTTCGGTGAATACCTGTAGCACTTTCACAAGGTGATATTCCACTTGCCCTTCGGGCTTCGTGGAATATCACTTGTGAAAGATGTACAGGTATTCACCTCAATAGAGTGAAATATTTGTTCAATATTGTTTATTGTTGATTATTGTATCTTTATTTCCCGTATCAGAGATACGGAGCAAAAAACAGTTTTTTCCGAGCCGAATAATTTTTTTCATTTATTACATAATTCAACATGATTTTCATACCCTCATATTTCCCTGGGAAAACTTGTATTTTTGGAAAAAATGACTATTAATAAGAAGTTGATGTATATTTCAGTATGTTTAAAGCATGGCATGTGTGTGTAGTGTTTATCTTTGTGAGCAAGAACAAGAGTTGAGATGTTAATATGGTATACATACTGATCTGTCTGGTAAGAACATTATTCCTGCAATGCTCCCAAGCTGGAATCGTGTGGCATTTCGTAGATTCACATTCCTGACTGGTTTTCGGCCATGCTCTTCAGCAATTCTCTCCATCATTGCATACCTCCAGGAAGCTCTATTCCCAAGCAAAAGTTCTTTGGTAATTGTCTGCAAAACATAATGATTAACCATGCTTATATCTTGTACAGTAGTTCAATTAGTTGTGATAGATATTAATTGCAATACATAATATCAAAGAATTATTCTGACATATTATTCTGACAGCAATTAATCTTTATGTCATATTTAGTTCATTTTTATCAATGAGATTTCGGTTTCTATTGATATATGTATTTCATTCTTCCTTAAATGGGGGACACATCTGATGATATGGTTTTTGGTGTTATTGCATTATAAGAAATATTATTGAAGACTCCATATAGAACAGTTGAATCAATCACAATACTGACCTCATCTTTATTTATATCAAAGGTTAAGAAGGTGGGAAGCTAGGTAGGTATATACGTATATAGGTAGGTAAATTGGTTGATTGGTTATCATATACATTCACTGTACCTCTATATCCTTCTTTTTACTGGACACAAATGCTCTCATCAAATTGGTACTCAAATGTGGCAGGGTCAATCTGAATTAGAAGAATGAGAAAGTATTTTATTTCCTGGGCTGTAGTAGCATCTTGCTACCAAGTGCCATTACAAATGCATCTATAATTCCTCATAGACTAAGATTTAATAAACTAAGATCTTTAAAATTGAACCCTTCAAACACTGTATCATGTCCAACGTATGTGGGTAGGTGGGTATGAGGTTGGAGGTTTTTTATACAAAGCCGTGATTCTGCCTTGCAACAATTCTCCTTCCAATCTGGCGCTTTCTGAGAGGATTGAAGGATGGTATGTAATGCCTTCATTGGATATTCTGAAATCCAAATACAGTACAATGGATTGATTGACATAAGATTTATAATTAAGATAATAGATTCAAACCGTGAATTTTCTATGAGCCAATAACAAATCAATTGAATCATCAGAGGGTCTAAAACACGCCTCACCGTCGACAACGTACAGTGACAAGGTATACCGTCATACACTTCAGGTGTACGGTGTCACTATTAACTGATTTGTAGGTTTCATTGTGGTTTTCAAAAATTTATTTGAGGAGTACATAAAGGATTTCATGTTTGATTTTGTGTGTATTCGATTAGGAAGACATTTACCTTTCTAATTACGTTAAAAGATTTTCGAGCAGTGTTCGATTTTTTTCGTTGTTAATCTACCCATGCAATTTGTCAATTGGAAAAATGTGTTTTTTTACACATTTTCTTTGATCATTTTCTCCCCTGTCGTGTAAGAGTGCCCAATATTTTTATGTGTTTCTCTAAACTACACAATCTAAGACGGTTGAAGGTTTCATAGTGTTATGAAAAATACATTGTCTACATAAGGGTTAACTGTGAAATTAGATATGTAAGTTCAATGGGATAACGTACATTGACAAGACAACGTACACTTATGATTTTCTTATTTTTATTATTTTAGCAAAAACATGAATTTTTATTAAATCTTCAACCGACCTTATTATTATGTAATTTTGGGAAATATATTCCCATAAAAATAATAGACATTCTTAGGCGACGGGGAAAAAATGACCATGATGGTGATGATGGTGGGTATATTAACTACGAAAAAACTCGAGCACTGCCCGAAAAACTTTTCACAGAGTTAGAAAGGTAAATGTCTTCCAAATCGAATACACACGAAATTAAACATACAATCCCTTAAGTATTCCTCGGATAAGATTAATTTTTAAAACCTACACCACACCCACATCATCATTTTTGCTTCATATCAGTTAGAATAGTGACACCATACATCTAAAGTGTACGACGGAATATTTTGTCACTGTACATTAATTTGTGGATGGTTAAGCGGGGCCCTTAAATGTGTAAAAATGATTTTAAAATAAGGTGAAATGGGATTACAAAATGTTTATGTTTATAAGCATTACCGGATTTTCTCGCATATACGCCCCCCTAAATGTAGGCCCATGGGCCAAAAATCGAATGTAGTACGCTTATACGCCCATGGGCCTATAAAAAATGACTATTTATTGATTTTTCAATAAATTCAAGAATATTTTCTCACTGGCAGATAGTTCTGTCATTACTTTGTCTTTGTTTCAACATTAAGTTCAAGTGGCAGTGGTGGATCGTTCTGTTGTTACTTTGTTTCAACATTAAATCCAAGGTTGTAGGTGACATTTCCTTTATAATTCTTACAAAACATGCGGTAGGACTACAACAGTAGGCACGGTAGTCTTTGTATTCATCAGCTCTTCTCACCTTTACGCCCTAGGAGGTTCACTTATAAACCTTGACGGGGATCCTTGGCGCACATGGGTACCTTTTTGGACATTTGGTATGGCAATTAACATTCTACCCTTAACTATGTGTTATTAAATTTAGCACACAGATAAACTAGAGGCAATTTCCAACATAGAAAATTTTTGTTTTCATTTTACTTCAATATCAATAACAATAGAAACACACGCAACTGAACCAATGGTGTCATTACGTAATGCTTTAACCAATTTGACGTCATAAAATCAAAATTTAGAATAGATTTAGACAATTTTATTTACTTATCACTTATTTGAACAATAACACTCTGTTTAAAGTAGATCTTTATGGTATTTTTGAATAGTCTATCGGTAGACTGTCTATAAGACAGGTTCATCGACAAAGCTTTATTTTGGAAATATACTTGCGCTTGATATCTAGTTGTCCAGGTGTTGTCATGGTTGAATCATAAATGCACTACAGTTTTAACATCATATTCATTGAAACAATATAGCAACTTTGGTAGAATGTTCAACAATCACGGGTTAAAGTTATGATCAAAAACTTGTGTGGGGTACTATAATGCTGACCCTACTGTGCACTCACACTATGTGCAGTATTTGTAAAATATCAAAAAAATACAAAAATTGCAACCGAAAGGTAAAGGATATTAATTCACAAGAGTTTGTAAAGTTTACTATCTTGTATCATCTCATCAACCTCTTCTGAAATCAATCTACTGAAATATTTTTCACTCAGAAAAGATTAAAAAACGTTGAAAATATTTGAGATAGCAGCATTCTTTCACAGTACACTACATTGGAAATCATTGATAGATCCAAGACTAGATGGATTCGATAAATAATATTAATGATAAAGTTTGCTACATTTAGAATGTAAAGGGTAATGTATTCTCTTAAAAGCAGTTTGGTTTCTTCTATTACTGTAAACTCTTTATATTAGCGTATAGTAATCTTTCAGAAATAAATCAACGAAATCTCATCCTTTTAAATAATCTAACAATAATTTTTTAACAGTACGCATTCTATTTATTTATATTTTGTCAAAAAACTAAGTCAAATAAGATAAATAACATTATTATCTCAAAAACAAAAATGATGGGAAATGAAGTATATTTCTCTGTGTACAGTAACATTTTAGCAAAACCCTAATTCTGCTTTGAGAAGCAACTTCTACAGTTTGCTGGAATATGAAACCACATTAATGTTTGCGTTGACAGCTTAATGGGCCTAGATAGGGAGTTAACATACAGTATAGCTATACTGGTAGCGGTATACCATTTCTTGATTTGATGGGAACACATTCAAATTTGACATTTTGGTATGGGAATATATTGATATCTGAGGTTTCAGCCTAGGACCCCTGCCAAAATTTTGTACACAGTGAACCCCCCCACCCCCGGGCTTTACGCCCACTTGTCCAAAATTCGAAAGTAGTACACTTATACGCCCATGGGCGAAAAATAAGAGGTAAAATAACAAACAAAATTACCCCTTCTTTCAGTTATACGCCCAGGGCTTATATGCGAGAAAATCCGGTACAGGCCATGCAATATAATATAGCATTGCCAAAATCTGGAGCATTGTCATGTTGTTCTTTATAATTGAATATAGGCTATCACCATATCAAGATGTGTCTTTTAGACTAGACATACTATAAGAAAAGTTTTAAGCTAATTTGACGTTTCAATAAAGAAATCTTAAAAAACAGCATGGGCTTTCAATTTGAAAGCCCATGAAAACAGTGAATGAGGTCCGACAATACAATAGACTCTATTCATTAGCTTCTAATCAGTGTATTTATAAATTTGGATGTTGATAAACATCTAGGCTTACTTACTGGTCTTGCGTTTGATCCTCGTCTGCTCCCTCCATTTCCACGTCCATCTTCCCATGCTGCCCAAAACTTCAAATTCCCGGCAAAACAAACTTGAGAAATGTTGTGGCGACATCTATTTCAAATTAAGGAAATGACGTTGTTTCTTCTTCAATACGATTACAAATGTATGCTGGGTAAAATTCTCTCGTGTTTTTTCCAATGACAATGACATCTATAAACAAATAAAGAAGATAATTTTAATATACATTGCGCATGTACAAAACTAAAATGAACCAATCAAATTTAAAATGCGCATAACATATGCGCAAAGAACCGAATCAGAAAACCGAATCAGTTGTAGATTGCCCTTAGTGGTAGTGACGGGCAAGGAGGATTGGCTCCCAGAGTGCACCACCGATATTCTGTCCCATATATGGGTATGTCGTAATACAAAATTCGAATTCAAACAGCCGCCATTTTGTTCACTTCAACATTTAAATCGTGAATTTTGGTCTTATTTCCAAACGAAAAATTCCAAAACTCACAAGAAACGATCGAGATATTGGTACGAATCTTTTGAACTGTTTATTTTGAATTTATAGTCGGTTTTAATTTCAGAAAATAACGACATTTCGACGTTTTCATTGTTGGAAAATATCGAGTTTCGATCCTGGGAGCCAATCCTCCTTGAGTGACGGGTCAACGTGACTTCAGCGCCAAAGAAAATAGCCAAAGAAGAAAGTTGGAAAGTGGAATGAATTGCGGGATCCGGATCAATGCTGATTTGAATACATAATAGCTGACAATCTTGTCCTCAACTCAGGTGAGTGTTACAATCAAAAGGGAGTACATACACTACACTGAGTTTATTTCCAATAGATCTACAACATGTACAGTTGGGGACATAAATAAATGACAGGTGGATTTGCTGAAGTGAGGATTTCCCATGTTAAAAATAAGAGAATTTACAAGAGGCCATAAATCAGTGGATGAGATTATACAAAATGTAAGATATACAAATTTTAAGGGATATGTATCTAGACAATATTTGAAATTATGGGCTTTCAGACCACCATAATTAGGAAATGGTGCGAACTCCCGTGCAGTGATATATCACTGCGGCGGGCAGGTGTCTCACCGTAAGCATGGTAACATCGTAATAAACAACTGACGTGATTGGTTCTAGTCCCATGCTCAGGTCGCGTGATTGTAAAATTTAGACAATTTCATTGGTTGAATTGCGCGTATTAACTAATAAACAAATATAAACAACACGTGCGGTAAATTTTATCAACACAACTTTTACTCAGAATTCCTTCCGCGGGGATTTCCTCTTATATTTCATTGATTTTGGAATATTTTGACAAAATAATTATTGTTGAACATAAAAGAACATATATTTTATAAGTTGTGTGAAAAACAAGTACATCTGTGACAAAAAGGGGGACTATCTTCCCCAAATTTTGGGGATTCCATAATCTGCCCGCCGCAGTGTCTATACCGAGACACTGCATAGGAGTTCGGAAATGGTGATCGAAAATCGACCTGTCATTTATTTTTGTCCCCAACTGTAGGGGCCTACACGTTTTTGCCTAAATTCTGGCCATTTTTATGATGTAATCTCCCGTGTAATATTTTGGTATCAGTACTAATCTTGTGTTTACTCGATTTTCGATGGTAAAATAGATATCTAAGTACTGTCTACGATCTACATCATCATGATAAACCATGACACTATTTCTTATCACACTTGAGATGATATGAAACAGGGTGTCAGCCAGAGACATGTTATTATTACCTCACTCCCCCCAGTTTTCTGCAAGTTAAAATGCTCAATTCTGCAAGTGAAATTAGTGAATTCTGCAAGAAGAAATGGCTAATTCTGCAGAAATTCCGCGGATATTCGCGGCATTTTTTTATATAATATAAATAACTGTTATTAATTTATGTCTTTGTTTAACTTTCTGACGAGAACCGAAAGAAAAACTAATGGTTTTCGAACCAGTAAACGGGAAAATATCGTGATAGTCAGGTAGTCAGTCACTACATACATGCTGCCATTTAACGGCAGAAATCAAACGATGGCGTTTAGAATTTTCACTTCGCATAATTTGGGTTATTTCTGCAAGGGATTTGACTGAAAACGTGTCAAATTGTTACAGGTAAGACTGACTTTTTAAACTTTTGGAAAATATATGGATTCTGCGGATTTAGGAAATTGACCAAAATAGTTGATTCTGCAATTCCGCGGGCAGAGGCAAATTCTGTCCGCGCTCTGCAAACACGGAATCCTGGGGGCAGTGTTCTTCTAACCACATGGAAGGCCACTGTATCAAGACCCTATCTGTTGCAAGACTTATGCCTGGCACGACCGTCACCATGTTATTAAGTGTTTTTAAGTTTCGCAAGGATCCTGCCATGACCGTGGTAGTGTTATCGTGATAACCTGATATATCCGTGACAATGCTATATTATATTGCATGGCCTGTCGTGACCGTGGTAATGTTAAAGCCTGATATGACCAAGACAATGCTATACTTTATTGCAAGGCCTGACATGACCGTGGTAACCATCGTGACAATGGTTGCAAGGCCTGTCATGACTGTGGTAATGTTAAAGCCTGATATGACCGTGACAATGCTATTCTATATTCCAAGGCCTGACATGACCATGGTAATGTTAAAGCCTGATATGACCGTCGTGACAATGGTTGCAAGGCCTGTCATGACCGTGGTAATGTTAAAGCCTGATATGACCACGACAATGGTTGCAAGGCCTGGCATGACTGTGGTAATGTTAAAGCACAATATGACCGTGACAATGTAGCATAGACAGACAGGGTGAGGCATCGATTCTTTAACAGGCTTGAAAATATTTTTTGCCTTCCTGGTTACACCACTGTATGCGAGAGTACCATCATTTAGGAAATACTGAATAATATTTATAATCCATTCTGTTTCTTAAAAAATTCAAGTACCCCAGAAATAAAAAACATTGAAAAAAAAGGTATGATCAATGAAGTGAACTCTGATGCATATAGTGAAACCACCTGGCTCACACTAGCGGATCTAGACGGGGGCGTGGAGGGCGCACCCCCCCCCCCCTAAAAGGTCGGAAAATTTGTGTTTTGCCTCATCACTTTTTACAAAATTTGACTCTTCGCTCACAGTTATTATCACACGCCCCCCCCCCCCCCCCCCCCCCCTAACACTAAATCCTGGATCCGTCCCTGGCTCAGATTATCATCCCCAGTAATTACATGTACTCTTTTTAAGAAACAAAATTGAACTATTTGAAGTAAAACAACAAACCGGTATATTTATTTATTCATGTACTGTCTTGATTTATCATATTTGTCATTGCTCAATCTGTTTATTTTAAGTATACATTGATGTTGATCTTCACTCTTCCAATTTTTCTCATAGTGGATTTTTATGCTGCTTAGCACTTCCATGGCATTTTGACATTGCAAATGCCGTCTAAGGTCATAGTCACCTTTAAGGCACATACTACAGTAAAAGTTGCATCATCCCTGTTCTAAAAAATGTATTACTATTTCAAGATTTCATCATTATGCCTATAGGGGTACTATGATTTGTACTGAAACATCAATTAAAATGATGATTTTACTTGAATTTGAATATGGAATGTTTTGTCTTTTATTTACATTTATCTGCATGAATACACCAAAAATCATGGCATGCTAATTTATGTATATGTTAGTAGACACTTACACAACATAATTTAAAAATCGGAAGAGTAACTTAACTCAGACGGTCAACAACTGCAACTGTAGTGTAATTATTCATGTCAAAGAGAATATTCAGAAAAAATCACTAAAAACAATATTATGACGTAAATAGTTCTCTGTGATTCATGTAGGTGATGGTGGTTTGCCACAGATCTTACAAAATATTTTTAGATTTTACAGGATGGGTTTAAAACTGTCAATTTTTGAAGGTCTTATTTGTATACTGAAGAATGGGTTAATTTGGCACTATTTAATTTGCTGATTTTGCCATTTTGGCATATTATATTGGCTGCTATTTAAGGTGGACACTGGGTCTTGGATATTGCTTTGATGTCACAACTTCCATATTTACATACACTGGTACAAAATACAAATTGTTGATTTGACCAATCAGAGATGATGTAATCTCAATATAGATTTAAATTATAGACATGTCTTCTTTGAATCCTGGGGTTGTTCACCCTCTGACTTTAAAACATTGTCAAGATTCATTCAATTTTAAAATGCGCCTGTTACGACTAACTGATTTCTCCCTTTCTTGCTCCAGTAAATATTTTAAGGTTTGCAATTTGCATTAGCTCATTTCTAATATGATTTATTCTCGAACTTCAGGATTTGTGATAGAAAGTTTCATCTATCTAACTTGTATCTAACAGCTTCCAGAATAAGACATTCTCAAAATTCATTTCGTTCGTTGCGTACCTTCACTACCTCTCTGACGTTGTTGAAATAGTTCTAAAATTCCCGGGGCAGGATCTTAGAAAGCTTCAGAAATTAGTACTTTCTTTATTACGAAATCAACAATGCCAAAACTTTAACATTCCATTAATCATAACGTTTACAAATGATTTTACCATTGAAATTGGTAATCAATGTTGTATTTGATGTGTTTTTAGGTAAAAATCTCCGCGGAGCAACAAGTTGTAAAATGTCAAGATCGATAATCACTGGGTTCAACATTACTACACGATTTCAAGATGGCGGTGTCAAAATTTTCCAAAAACGCTTCAAATAATATTATGTTAATTTCTGGCAAGTTCACCAATATCATAACGTGTTATCTAACAACAAGATAAAGAAATATCTAAGAAATTCAATTTTATCAATAAGAACATCACATCGACATGTGGTATTCGTTTATTAGACGATTAAAATTAAGAATATGGGGATGACGTCACTTCAAAACGAACTGCATAGCAACGGTGTTAATAAACAATTTCTGACCTTGCAAATTCCTAAGTATTCATTTCTAACAGTTTGTTACGAATTACTTAATATTTTTCTTATGAATGAATTTTTACTACATTAGAAATAAACATTTTATAAAATATAACGAATAAAATCAGTAGCAAACGCAAACAAATATATTTTTTGAAGCAGGTCAAAATATTTAGAAGGGTAAATTTCGCGGGAATTTAAAGATCTGCATGAGGTGAGGCACAGGAGGTAAGGATGGCACTGGACGAAAGGCTCAGAGACTGAGAATAAGAGTATGCATTAACAAATATGCTGTAACAGTAAAACCTGTCTAATCTGAGCACTACTGAGACAGGCTGCCAAAATATTGGGACTACCAGGTTTCCTAATATGTGAATTAATGAAACAAAATAAATTTGGAACTAAGAAAAAGTGTTCACATTGAGAGGTGTTCCTATTAAAGAATTGTTCAGATATACATGTTTTACTGTACTATATTCTCAAGTTGCTCAGCAATGGCAGCTTTGAAGGTGTGCAATGCTCAGCCACTAGCATTTAAGCTTGCTTATAAAGACTCCTTGCAGTGCATCTGATAATATTTACTGATAAACTGAATTTTACTGTATTTGTTGCAGATAGTGCTATCCAGATTAAAACCAATCAGAAGCTGCAAGCCATAGAAAGAGAAGCCTCTGACCTTGATGAAGAAATCAAAGCAGCTGGAAAACTTAACCTCAAATAGGAACCAGTGGGAAATATAGACACAATTCTACGTAGTAAACATCGCATGAGATACAATACAATGATAAAGCAAGCATCACTGACCATAGACGACGAAAGCTTTCAAGATTTGGAAAAATTCATTAGATTGTTGAAAACTATTGGGGAGTACTCAAACACCATTATCTGACTACCTTTATAGATAATCATTAGATAAATTAGGAGATTTTTTATTTTGGGATACAAATTTATTTTATATATTTATATACAAACTATATTTTACCTACAAGGCAGCTGATTTAAAGACTTTGGAAATTTTTGTATTATTTATTTATTTTTTTCAAACATTGTCAACTAAGACAGTTGAGATAATCATATAAACCATTGACAATCAAGAAAATATTTGAACTGGGTGCTTATTTGGATAAAAGGATCACATTGAACGTCATTCCAACACTGACTCTGATAAACCAAAGGTAAGAACATATATTTTATATTTTTATCAGTTCCTTAAAGTGACTTGAAAAACAAAATTATTTAGAAGATGCTTAATTTTCCAACTTTTCCAATTGTTAAATTAGAAGTGTGATAAACCAGTAGGGATTAGATATAGGGTATATCCCAAGGAATTGTTAGATATCAGCTGGGTAACATGGTGACCAATGGGAAGTTTCCAAGGATAAACCCTATATCTATTATACCAGTGAATGACAACTCCAAGAGCTTAGTAATGAGGTTAACAGAAAATGTAAATTAGATGGGTTGCAGTAAAGAACCTAGTCTCTTCATACATATTTAGATCTCTTATAAAGCATAACATACCAATTGTCAATTTAATACATGAAGTAACTGTTGAAAATGAAAAATATGAACTTGTAATTATCTAAACAAGAGGTGAGTCTTAGGGCTAGCAGTGAAATTCTAGCATGGATCGCTCATTTAGATATCAAGCTCTATAAGGGTAGATATGTGTATGCTTAAGTTGGTATAGGTAATGCAACTGAACATGTTACCTTGCACATAGACACATAGACACACTCATATTTCATAGGCAGAAACATAAGTTTGTTTCATTCATTCCAGACAGAGTGATTTTAAGTACACATCATGTACAAATGGTAAAAGTTCAGATTTAGCTCCATGTTCTACATCTCCACATTATAGGAGTAGACGACTTGACACATAATGAAGAATGAAGGAACATAGTGGATGATGTTTGGAGTCCTGTGTTCAGAAAATGCATTGTGTGATCGATCCAAACCATATACTTCGATCCAAATCCTGTACCTGTCTCCCATGCATTGGATAACAATCTTAACATTAATAAATCAGAATGACATACTATTGTTACCCTTCATCAGTAATTGACTTTGGGGACACTCTTTAGAATTATAGATATATCTTTTAATTGATCTAGCCTGTATGCAGCCAGACTTAGTAGTCACATAATCATGAAACTCCATTATCTGCCAATAAGTAGCCTAACATTCATTCAAACTCCCACAAACATCTTCAAGATTGTAAAGACAAGTTATCAGCATAAAAACTGGTAAATTGTATATAAAAGTCAGAGTCTAGTAAATATTCCAAGGTGCTCAATCATATATCCAGTTCAGTTCCTGATTTTACATGACATTAACTCCACGATGCTGAATCACTACTCTATGAATGAATGATTCATTATCTGTTTTAATGATCAATTTGGATGACTGTTCATGTGGCAATTTGGTTAATAACTAAATATAGGTTTTTTCTGATGCAATAATGCTGGGACATTTACTTGTACTAAATTACTTTTTACACATGTAAAAAACCTTTATGACAGTATTGTATACATCCTAGCATGACAACCATTTGTGAATCTCAAAACGGTTTTTTCACTCCTATTATAACATGTAATTATATGAAATAAGGCAAATCATGTGATAAATAGTGATTTTGGAATTCTTGATTAGCACTTATTGAAAAATTTGAAAATGACCCCTATAAAAGATGGCAACACTGATTGATATAAATATCATTGATAAAAAATGACTACCACATACACTCAAACAGTAAGTTATCAGCATGTTCATAATTGAGATAGAAGTACAGTACACCACATGTATATGTTCAAAACCCTGGATCACTTTCGGAATGGTACATGACCCTCTGACAAATACAAGTGATTTCATGGTTTTGATGCTTATAAGATCTTCATGATTTCTAATGCAGCTTTACTGACCTTTTATGGACTTTTAAATATGAAACAAATCCCATGTTTAAGCCGAAGAAAGAGTAATTTTCTGACAACATATTCTGATTTTCTATTTACTAAATTAGATATTGTGTCATATTTGAAGAGTGAAGTTAAGGTCTTAAAAGCAATTACATGCAGAGGGTACAAGATAGTATATAAATAACTAAACAGTTTGAACTGGGACACTCAAAATGATAGCACTTGTGATAAGATTGTTCGTGTCTCTCAGTAAAAATGTTCTTTAAACTCTAATGTCATATCTACAGTTATTAATCGTAAATAGATTTAACTGCACAATTCTCTTGGCATTTGTTAACCTCACAAAGGCTCACCTTCATGGCTTACTTAGGAAGGTTTATCAAGGTAAAATGTTAAAATATTTTTAGAAAATCGTTCATATAATTACCTACATATTTGGGACCTTACAGATGAAATAGTAGTTCATTTGTTTAGTTTTTATTTAGAAAACAAAATGAACATACATTATCATTATCATTACATGACAATACTTTGACATAAGGAAATAAAAGTCCGGTATAAAAAAAGTAGCTTGGAATTATTTTACTTTATTTATTTAATTGCGTCTCTTTCAAATGAATGTCACTTAAAGTATATACAATCAATGTGAATACATATCTGGCTTAAACTAGCAGTGAAAGACACATACATAAATGTAGTACCAAAATGATTGTAAGTACTCTATTTATTGTTAGTTTTTCAAAATGATATAAATAATATTAATGGAAGTTTAACCAAAATACTATATTGCATGTGTTTTTTATTATAAATTAAGTAAAATCAAAATAGATATTTAAACATCACTCTTGGCAAGATATTTCAAGTTAACATGATAAATCAAGGATTATTCAAATTCAAGGATACCCTACTGTTTGACTATACCACATGTACTGTTTTTTAATGAACGATTTCATTCATATCCATATTTTATAAATTGATTGTATCTACTTTTTTGTATCATACAAAAATTGATAACAGAGATACAAGATACCAAATTACTAACTGAGAAAGTGTTCACATTGAGAGGTGTTCACATTGAGAGGTGTTCAGATTAGAGAGGTGTTCGGATATAGAGAGGTGTTCGGATATAGAGGTTTCACTATTATAATGACTGTACTACATACTGTGTCTACATCTTGTTTAAAAAGTTGTCATTTGTGTGTTGAGTGTCTCTGCACCAGGCCACAATTTAGAACAACAAGGGGCTGTTTCAACAAGGGGTTCCCAGTTCTGTCCAGGGATAACAAAAGTTGAAGTCATCAGCAGAGAATGTTGTGTTCCTCTTACATATAAGGGCAATAAAGATAGTCATACATGTTCCATGCATACATCTTATTTTTCCAGATAACTGATCAGAATGGGCACTGGAGCGCATAAGAAGGACGGAATGGCAACTGTTAACGCAGCAGAGATGTTGCCCCTGAAACGAGATGGTTCCATTGACGGTGCACAGGACACAACAGAAAATGCAGGAGTACATTTAAAGCGGTCACTAGGGCTGTTTAATGGTGTCGCACTCATTGCTGGTACTATCATTGGCAGTGGTATCTTCGTCAGCCCTAAAGGTGTCCTAATGGAGTCTGGGTCGATTGGCGTGGCATTAGTCATCTGGACCATCTCTGGATTCATGTGCCTCGTTGGAGCTCATTGCTTAGCAGAGCTCGGCACGTGTATAACCAAATCAGGAGGACAATACGCATACATTCAGGAGGCCTTTGGACCTCTCGTAGGATTTCTATACATGTGGACATTTATATTGATCTCTGCCCCAACAGCCAATGCTGTAATTGCCTTAACATTTGCGGAGTATGTTATCTACCCATTTTTTCCTGACTGTCCCTCTCCTGATCTTGCTATACGACTACTAGCTGCAGGGGCCATAAGTAAGTTATTTCTAGATTATTCATGTGAATTTGAGTTTTATGTCACCACCACAAGTGGTGACATAATATTGTTATGGTCTTCGGTGGTTGGCACCTGTAAGAAATTGCGTTTGGCGGTTTGTGTCTGTAACAAATGGTTAGAATGTGCCATTTTGCATGTTAATGCCTTGTTAACATCATGAAGTTCCCTTTCTTTGAAAGTTGACAGTTTGTGTTTATCAAAGCTTCATCACGTAAACCTCATGTTTTACATTCTTCATTTTACATTTTCTTTTTAAAAGGAAATAATTTATTTTGAATTTTATATCATTGCTGTCACCATTTTCTATTACCTCCTTTCTTTCGTAAAATAATGAAGTCAGTTTGAATTTAAATGTTCCACACTGACATGCTACATTCTTCAAGGTGATCTTCAATTAAATGAGTGTTTATTGTTTCATTTTTATGCCATTTTTGGTTTTTGCGTTACAGTGATTTAAGTCATTTACATTAATTTGCTTGAATTTCAATAGTTTGCTGTTTTTTAGGCCAATTTAATTGCTAAAATAGAATTTAGTAAACATGACATTTGATTATGTTTATATTTTAACATACTTTTCTTTCAGCTCTTTTGACATTTGTGAACTGCGCCAGTGTGAATGTCGCCTCAAAGGTTCAGAACGTCTTCACAGTCATTAAGATTGTTGCCCTTTGCACAGTTATTTTAACAGGAATTGTGAAGTTGATTCAAGGTATGTGAACTAAAAAAATCTATAGTTGGGCAGAACTTTTGTTTTCATTTTCCAAGTGCTTTCTCCCAAAACCAGTGTGTGACAAAGTAACATTAAAACTATTATGAGAACATGCTCATTTGCATATTTTGCCATCACGACAAAGACGCGAGTTATTATTTTTATAATATAAGAGTCTATCATGCACAGATTTAAGACAAAGGGCCTGAGAATAAAGATAGTTATACTTGACATTTGAAATAATGGACATTTGATTTAATTCAAACTCACCTTTGATAAAATTTATGATCTCTGATCTTAATTTAAATGAATTTGAATTTCGTAATTATAAAGTGGTGTGATACTGTGATACTTGAGTGATATGGTAAATAATTAGAATCATGATTTACATGTACTTATATTATACACATGTTTACTTAATCATTATGATATGATATGCTCTTTTTTGTCTCTTTGAGATTTATATTAATATTACTAATTTTAATTTGTAATCAGTTGCACAATTCAAGTTGAATATTAACTTATTATTGTAAGGGAGGGGTCATGGGTTCGATCCCCACTGGGGTTGACTGACTTTTTCACATCAGCTCTAACAGCACAGGATTTCATTTTGTGTATTCTTTAACTTCTTCAACTAAATAAATGAGTCTAAATTAGATTATGATAAATTCGTTACAATTGACATCCTCAAATATTTCAGGAGAAATTTCTTTTCTCTATCAGGAGACCATTTGTGATGGTTTCATTAGTCCTCCCCCAAAGAAACAAACCAACCAACATGATGTCATCCTCCGATCACAGGGCTTCAAAATCCAGAATATATTCTTTTTTTTACCCCCTGTGATAAGCAGTTAGCATTTCCCCGATTAAGAACTCGCAATCTGATTGACTGTCGCAACAGAAATTATGTATAAGTCGTTGCGCATAATTAGATCATGTGATTCAGTTTAATCGGGTGCCTCCAACTTGGTATTAGCAGGGGGAAGATGGAGGTACGGATTCTGGACACCTGCTTAGGAGGATGACAGGGTGTAAAAGATGTAATACTAATTTTTGTACGTTGAGTCACCATATCTATTTTGCTACATTCTTATTGTGTCTGGAGGCAGGATCTTGTTTATGAGGGTGAAATAAAATGTTTTGGTTTGTTGGTTCATGCCTGGTTTTACATGCCCCAGACAAAGTCAGTAAAAGTAGCTATTTGAATGCTTAATGTGAACAACCTTGTCTAACCTAGTATATCATCTTCTAAACTCCTGACTTCAAAAAGTATATTCCACCTCCAAAAATTTGCTTACTACCTGGTGAATGATATGAGAAATGTTTTCACAAAAAGAGGCTGTAAAGTTAGGATTTAGCACCATGTTGAGAAAAACCTTGGGATGACCATCACCATCCTCCTAAGCAGGTGTCCAGAATCTGTACCTCCATCCTCCCCCTGCTATAGCCAATTTGGTAGTGCCCGATTTAGCTGAATCACGTGATCTAATTATGCGCTATGACTTATACATGATTTCTATCGCAGTGTTGCGACAGCCAATCAGATTGCGTGCTCTTAATCGGGGAAATGGTAACTGCTTATTGCAGGGGGTAAAAAGAAAGAATATATTCTGGATTTTGAAGCCCTTAGATAGGAGGATGACCATCACTGGTTTGGAAAGACTAGAAAGGATATGAAATTATAATTATTCATTTTTGAAATATGAGTGTCCCATTTTTTGAGCACCCTGTATATGCGACACATTTTGTGTGGATTCTTATATAATGTAAACCTTGTAGGTGATGTAAGGCTCTTCGACAATGCATTTGAAGGTTCCAACACGAATCCTGGATCTATCGCTCTAGCATTCTACTCAGGCCTGTTCAGCTATTCAGGATGGTAAGTATTTATTGCAATTGTGTGTTTGTATTGAATCCTGGTTCTATCGCTCTTGCATTCTACTCAGGCCTGTTCAGCTATTCAGGATGGTAAGTATTTATTGCAATTGTGCGTTTGTATTGAATCCTGGTTCTATAGCTCTAGCATTCTACTCAGGCCTGTTCAGCTATTCAGGATGGTAAGTATTTATTGCAATTTTGTGTTTGTATTGAATCCTGGTTCTATAGCTCTTGCATTCTACTCAGGCCTGTTCAGCTATTCAGGATGGTAAGTATTTATTGCAATTGTGTGTTTGTATTGAATCCTGGTTCTATCGCTCTTGCATTCTACTCAGGCCTGTTCAGCTATTCAGGATGGTAAGTATTTATTGCAATTGTGTGTTTGTATTGAATCCTGGTTCTATCGCTCTTGCATTCTACTCAGGCCTGTTCAGCTATTCAGGATGGTAAGTATTTATTGCAATTGTGTGTTTGTATTGAATCCTGGTTCTATCGCTCTTGCGTTCTACTCAGGCCTGTTCAGCTATTCAGGATGGTAAGTATTTATTGCAATTGTGCGTTTGTATTGAATCCTGGTTCTATAGCTCTAGCATTCTACTCAGGCCTGTTCAGCTATTCAGGATAGTAAGTATTTATTGCAATTGTGTGTTTGTATTGAATCCTGGTTCTATCGCTCTTGCGTTCTACTCAGGCCTGTTCAGCTATTCAGGATGGTAAGTATTTATTGCAATTGTGCGTTTGTATTGAATCCTGGTTCTATCGCTCTTGCATTCTACTCAGGCCTGTTCAGCTATTCAGGATGGTAAGTATTTATTGCAATTGTGCGTTTGTATTGAATCCTGGTTCTATAGCTCTAGCATTCTACTCAGGCCTGTTCAGCTATTCAGGATGGTAAGTATTTATTGCAATTGTGTGTTTGTATTGAATCCTGGTTCTATCGCTCTTGCGTTCTACTCAGGCCTGTTCAGCTATTCAGGATGGTAAGTATTTATTGCAATTGTGCGTTTGTATTGAATCCTGGATCTATCGCTCTTGCGTTCTACTCAGGCCTGTTCAGCTATTCAGGATGGTAAGTATTTATTGCAATTGTGTGTTTGTATTGAATCCTGGATCTATAGCTCTTGCGTTCTACTCAGGCCTGTTCAGCTATTCAGGATGGTAAGTATTTATTGCAATTGTGCGTTTGTATTGAATCCTGGATCTATCGCTCTTGCATTCTACTCAGGCCTGTTCAGCTATTCAGGATGGTAAGTATTTATTGCAATTGTGTGTTTGTATTGAATCCTGGATCTATCGCTCTTGCATTCTACTCAGGCCTGTTCAGCTATTCAGGATGGTAAGTATTTATTGCAATTGTGTGTTTGTATTGAATCCTGGATCTATCGCTCTTGCGTTCTACTCAGGCCTGTTCAGCTATTCAGGATGGTAAGTATTTATTGCAATTGTGCGTTTGTATTGAATCCTGGATCTATCGCTCTAGGGTTCTACTCAGGCCTGTTCAGCTATTCAGGATGGTAAGTATTTATTGCAATTGTGCGTTTGTATTGAATCCTGGATCTATCGCTCTTGCGTTCTACTCAGGCCTGTTCAGCTATTCAGGATGGTAAGTATTTGTATGTAAATACATGCCATACATCTACGGTAAACCCTGACAAATCGAACACCACTGGGACCAATCAAAAGTCTTCGGTTAAGCAGGTGTCAACATTTCAAGGTTTCCTTTTATGTGACTCAATTTGAGATAACAAAATTGAGGCCAAGAGATGAGGTCTTCAAATCAGAAAGGTTTTTGGATACAGGTTTTACTGTACAGTATTTATATTAATTCCAGGGTAAATAGAAAATACTATTGCAATAGATTCTGATGCCTCATAAGCTATGCTCATAATTGTTGTTTAAACCTACGCAGAAGAAATTAGTTTGACATTGATGATGGTTTTCATTGGCTTGGTGTGCTTAGAGGTTTATCAATTTTGTAAAGTTAGAGTGTTATATAAAATGGACCCTCTTGTAAAGGGTTACTTACTTTGAATTTATCCTTCTTTAAGCTTTCTCTTTTCAAGTGAGTGTCCAGTGTGGATTAAAAATTAGTAGAATTTACTGATAAGAGTTCTTATCTGAACACCTGAAATCCACTCTGCAACATTACTGTTTTAATGTTAATTTGGTAAAAGGTGAATCATAAAGCTTGATGAAAATTAGATACTCATAATTCATCTGTAAGAGCAGATAGCAACAGCCTTGCCATATATCTGTTAAAGGTGAATAACATTGAGTCTGAAGAAATATGGGATATCAGCACTAATTTACTTGTCATTTCAACAAAGAGTCAAAAAACAGGTTAATTATTAGTCAATAAAGATGTAAACAACTGTTGGATAGTCTCTGTTCTTTAAATTGAAAATGCAGCTTTCTTTACTTTTTGGGCAATATATGTTACCATAGCAACAAAATACTTAAACTTTGTCTTATATTTGTTACATTATAACATCCTTAGAGGTAAAGTCAGATTGACTTTCAAAATCATTACCTCTTGGCATATTACATACATCTACAAATTTTTGACAGTATCATTCAGTTAATTACCATGGCAACATGTTTAAGGACTAATAAGGTTTCAGTGGTGACAAAAATTCGTTTAGAATTATACTTTGTTAAAAAGTATAAAATGGCTATTCCATTTCATATATCTTCAACTTATCATTGCTCACTACCTTTAACTGACCTTCATTGTGTTTGTTTCAATTCCACTCAGGTCATTGATCTGTATATAATCTATATATTCTCCACTGGCCTCCATGGAAACAGGTAAACATATTCACACACCTATTACCCCAGTAACTTATATTCCAAGGTTTAAACATAAGGCCAGTGTTATAAGAGAATCCAACAAACAAAATATGTTTTAATGCAGATTCATTGATGAATAAAAACTTTTATTTAGAGATTCTCAAAATTTAAGAGAACTCCCCATTTAGGAAGCATTTTGGATTTTCTAGTGAAGGAATAAAAGAGATAAATTTAACATTTCTAGACAAGAATCAGAAAGACAATATGATGAAGTCATACTTTGTTCGTATAAAACTTGGTGATACTGCTATGAATGATCAATATAATTTTTGTTAAAATTGCTACAGATTATGAAGGAAGCGTAAGCACCACATGCCCTGTAGTAAAGTTTGACATATCATTTATTTCAAGTTTGGTATATCTATATCATATCATTTCAAGTAATGGTATATCATTCTGGTATGCCAGAGCCCCTCTTATCTGCCGTTTGCGAGAGACTTTGGAAGGAAAAAGACAAAGGGGGCGCGGCTATCGCGATGATGGTATATCATACTGTTTTATTTGCCACCCATTTCCCACCACCTCCCACGGTTCTTAGCCCTATTTGCAAAAATAACGTTACATAATGGTTATGTTATCTATTATGTAAGATTATGTAATATTATATAATAGTAATAAAGATTATTATCATAACTAGATACTGGACATAAATTGACTGAATAATGATCTTTATTGGAAACCTTATGGTTATCGAGAAAACTGGGAAAGAATAATAAGAAAGAATAATAAAGAATAATAAAGAATAATAATAAGAATACTGACAAAAACAATAGACTCCAGATTGACATCTGGAGTCTAATAATAGGATTTGGCCATACGCGTATAGAGGGAAATGGCTCTAGGGACGCTTTGAGGGCCTATAATGGTCGATTGAAGGACAGGGAATCTAGGGAGGTAGTTGGGGAGAATGTCTGGCTCGTGCTTCGCGGATCCGTCGAGGTCAAAAAATAGTCCTTCAAAAAATAGGCCTTCCAGACGTCTATATAGAGCTTTCGACGTAGATTCGAGCAGCGTACGCGTCGTTCTACATTCCGCAATCGTTAGTTTGAGGAAGGGAATCGTTGTTTACGAAATGCTCTAGTCATCGTTCGGGCCTATTTTCTTTCAAATGTCTGTTGTTCGCAGAGATACGTATACCAAGTGTATTCGTGCCGTCTAGATATACGGCAACGGTGGCCCGTACGCGAACTTCAAACGCGTATATCTCGATAACTAATGGTCGGATTTCAATTTGGTTCACTGTTTTTTTAATGCTCGGAAAACTGTCTTTCCGACCAGCTAGTTTTCCTCCGATTCTGACTTCTTAAGGAGGCTCGAGAGGCCGAAATAGCGGAAATGCAGATTTCGACCTAGATTTCGACCTTTGACCCAGATAAGGATTTGACCTAATTTCCGAGCAACTACGCCTAGCCCCCTAACAACGTGCATGAGTAGATTTATCCAAATATCTCTCGTTGATGAGAACGTGTGGTTAGAAAGATTTTTGCTTTTGCACATACAAAAGCAAAAATCATAATAGGATTTGGCCATACGCGTATAGAGGGAAATGGCTCTAGGGACGCTTTGAGGGCCTATAATGGTCGATTGAAGGACAGGGAATCTAGGGAGGTAGTTGGGGAGAATGTCTGGCTCGTGCTTCGCGGATCCGTCGAGGTCAAAAAATAGTCCTTCAAAAAATAGGCCTTCCAGACGTCTATATAGAGCTTTCGACGTAGATTCGAGCAGCGTACGCGTCGTTCTACATTCCGCAATCGTTAGTTTGAGGAAGGGAATCGTTGTTTACGAAATGCTCTAGTCATCGTTCGGGCCTATTTTCTTTCAAATGTCTGTTGTTCGCAGAGATACGTATACCAAGTGTATTCGTGCCGTCTAGATATACGGCAACGGTGGCCCGTACGCGAACTTCAAACGCGTATATCTCGATAACTAATGGTCGGATTTCAATTTGGTTCACTGTTTTTTTAATGCTCGGAAAACTGTCTTTCCGACCAGCTAGTTTTCCTCCGATTCTGACTTCTTAAGGAGGCTCGAGAGGCCGAAATAGCGGAAATGCAGATTTCGACCTAGATTTCGACCTTTGACCCAGATAAGGATTTGACCTAATTTCCGAGCAACTACGCCTAGCCCCCTAACAACGTGCATGAGTAGATTTATCCAAATATCTCTCGTTGATGAGAACGTGTGGTTAGAAAGATTTTTGCTTTTGCACATACAAAAGCAAAAATCACTAGACTTTGGAA